TTATTTTCCCTCTACTTCACCTACAGTGCTCTTTGCCAGAGTCAAATGTTAGTGGGGACCAACGCCCTCCCTCCCTTGGCAGTACAGATGAGGGTAGTTGGATCCAAGTGGATGAGAATGAGGCTCAGCCCACACTTTGGGTCCCAGATCATGCTGCCACCAGCTGTGCTAAGTGTGATACACAGTTCTGGATGGCAAACAGAAAACATCATTGTAGGTATGTGAGATAGTTATGGGGGTTTTGTCTCTGAATATGCATTTTGCAGCTAACTGTAGTTGAATGCACCTAAAATTAAAGTGGAGTTCTTTTACAATATACAGGAACTGGGATGTTTAGGTGATGAGAGAAAGAATACTAAACTATTGCTGAGAATACAATCAGCACATTAGAGAAATTTTCAATCAAATGTTAAAAGTAATCCAGGATTGTTTTGGTTTTGTTACCCTCTCACCCTTACGAGTGATGTTTTGAAAGTTCTCAAAATTGCACGAGCCGTAGGCGAGTGCAATTTGAGAACTTTCAAAACATCACGAGTGACCATAAATCACGAAATGCACGAGCAGGTTCATACGATTTTTTATTTATTATATTCTCGATTTTTTTATAATTTAGTGTTCAAATTTGGCGCTTCCCCGGTGTTTCCATGGCAACTTCTCCGTATTGCACTCTATAACCTCTATTGCACTCTATAACCTATTTATGCATTCATCATTGACCAATCAGAAACGCGATATTTTGTTGAGTATATAATAAGACGACTTATTTGTTAACATTTTTCCTGTCCATTGGGTAGATGGCTTCTTTTTTGTTATGAGTTCTCTTTGGCTCCCTGTGATTTTCTCATTTCTCCTGAGTAGCTGTTGTTATTACCACTGATTTGGCTTTGCCACTCACAGTTGTAATTTTCTTCTGATGATATGTAGATTTGCAATGTAAAGGACGTCTCTATCAGCCAATTATTGTTTTGTATAGGAACTGTGGTCAAGTGTTTTGTGGTACATGTTCTGAGAAGAGATTACCACTGCCGGACGAACAGCTTTACGACCCAGTCAGAGTATGTTTTGCATGCTTTGAAAAGCTTGTCACTCTTCAGCAACGGGAGAACGGCCAGCGAAGGCATCCCGAAGTAGCAGGCTCATAATTCATGAGCACCACTGAGACTTTAGTATCAAACTCCACAGACCAACTTGCTCATGAGAATTGCTAGGAACTCTGTTTCAGCCACTGCTGATCAGTTAATAACATTTTTGCATTTTGACAACAGCAGAGAGAAAACGCTGCTTGCATTGCAGTGAAACCATAAACATATTGAATGAGGTAGAAGGGGTTTTAATGTCACTAAGATAAGTTAGTTAGTTTTCAAAAGTACTTGTAGATTAGTTTGGTCAACAAGGAATAATTTCTGTGGTAGTTAAAATGAAAATTTTTCAATTTGCTTGAAAGAAAGAAATTGGAAGGTATATCAGTGGGGAACCCTTCATTAATTTTCCAACCCCTGAAAATAGCCCTGGTTTAACGAGGCGCTTTTATTCTTCATAAGTTTTAGTCAACCTTTCTCTTGCAGTCAGGTTATTGATCAGGTTTTTGGTATGTTCACATAGGTTTTTGTTTGTAGCAGTTTGTATGAGCAAGTTGGCTTAAAACTAATTTAGATCATGGCTGATTCTGATTTTTAGGGCTGTTTTGATAATGTTAAAAGTAAACATAATATTTAGTAAAGAATTATTTATGTTACAGAATTTTTCTAATAGTGTGGTATCTAAATTGTTTATAGTTTCAAAACTATATTACTTTCATAGTTTCAAAAGGCCTTTTTCTGTATTTTTCGTCCAGATTCTATTTTGTCTTGCATTGATTTGATTTAAGGTATTATTAGGTTTCGTGTACAGAAAATGTTTAAAAAAATTCATGTTTGTAAGTAGCCCGCCATTTTCCTTGAAAAGTAGGAACGTCTGGAATTGAACGAACTCTCCTATGATCAGTATATGTTTAGTCTACTTTGGAGACGATAAATATTTGTTTAACTCTTTTATAGAAGGCTCTCAATTCTAACTTAATGGTTGGTCAAATGTTTTCGTTTCAAATGGATCATGAAATCAACTTTCTCGTTCCTCACTAAGCCTTTAAAACGAGTGCAGTTTTATACAACAACTCTGTACATCTTCGTTAGTACTCCGGAGGCCTTGACGTTACCAGAGAGTTTTGACGGCATACTGTGTAACTGTGTTAAAAATACAGTGGGCTCAGTTCATTTTCAAACCGTCACATGTGCTCGTTTTACAGGTTAGAAGTATGAACTTTTTGTGCTGGAAATAATGTGTCGGCGGGATAGCAATGATTTTTCCTAGAAATTTCGTTTCCTAGAAATTGATGTTTTGGGTAGCGTAGCTGGGATAAATGTTGCGTATGAGTTATTGTTCAATTAGAGCAGAACTAGTTGTTTCTAAAGCCAGTCAGAGCAGATAAAAGACCACTCTTGATTGGATCGCGCGAGTATTTTGCCGCGCTAGTCTCTGCTTACATTTGCTTGGTTGGAGTCTTTACCTTTGCTGTAAGTTCGTAATTCCTTCTTGTTCAAATGTTCTGTTAGTCTCCCAGATAGCCTTCGTAACTAGTCTTCTAGTCTTGGACTAGTCGGAAAAATTGAAACTACAATTGTGTCATCGTTGTTTAATAAAAGTCACGTAACGTGAACACAGGTCTTTGTGTTATCTTGTGGGGTTGTAATCTTGACAACTTGGGCATCGTTTGGTTAACCTTTTAAGTCCCACCAGTGACCTAGACAGAATTTCTCCTGACAGTATCGGCACGATATCAAGCAGACAAGTAATGAGAATAAAGAAAAATATCATATATGATTGATCCAATTCCAAATTCTCCAAACTAACATCACATAAATTGTGTAGCAGACAGTAAGGAGAATTATTAATGAAATCTTGGGGGTTAAAGTACTGGAAAGTGACAAGTGTAGCGGGGATTGGGGAATATGAAAGTCTTTTGTCTTTGTTGTTATTTTTGTTTTTTGTTACTGTTGTTTTCTTTTCTTCTCTCTTCTTCTGGGCGATTATCTTTTTCCTCTCTGATTTTCCCTACACCTCTTCCCCCGTCACTTTCCTAATGGTCTATAGAAGTGTTACTTGCGTGGTAGAGGGAAACCAACTTCCCCTTTTTGGCGGCGTAAGCCTGGTGCTAAGAGAAACTCCCGCTGTAGAAACATCTGCAGGGCTCTGCAAGGCTAATTTCACTCAGTTTTTGAAATACAAAAGCTCGCGCAATTTATTTCAACCGTTGCTAGTTGTTATAGGATATGTCACGGGATATATGTATTGAAAAATCTTGATTCTTTTGTAGTTTATTACAGGTCATTAGGAAAAGAATTAAAAAAAAGTCAAGGCTGAATCATAATATTTGTCTGAAAGGAATATTATTATCACTTCCAATCTTCAGTTTTGTTTACGTAACGCGTGAATTAATGAACAAATACTAATTTTTCTGCAAGAGATTATATATTTTGCTCTTGGAAATAATTCTTTAAATTTAAATATCAGTTTACCCGGTATCGCCATGATGGTCGATTCAAGTCTACGAAATGATGGTCCTTAGATTATACGACGTTTTTTTTTTAAATAAATAAGGCGGTTTGCGGAAATTAGATAGCCGATTTTAAATTGTCTTAATTAAAGATTTGCGCGCCCTAAGAATCTTGGAGCAAATCAGAAACGAAATGACAGCTTCTAAACATTAATTGCGGAAATCTCTGTGTTTTTCGGTTCTTCTCACGTCTGGTTTTCAAACAAATGTTCCAAAAACATGACTTCATGCAAATTACACATCCGTGCAGGAAAATATAAATAAATTCATCAGAGCGTTGGTAATCAGCTTCATTTTCAGCCAGTTTATTATTTGCAACTCTGTTCGTGACAAGCCTTTATTTTTCAAGATCGAGGATGTCACAGAATATACCGAATGGTAAGAGTTTTATTTCATTATTTTAATTTTCGTTGATCTTTTAATATCTTATGAATCCTACATCCTAGATCGGTGGGTAGCATCAAAACTGTAACAGTAACTGATAGCGCCCACTTCATTTAGTCAGTGATTAGCAATGCAAAAGTCTTTCAAAATGCACAAAGACATTTCCCACATGATCATGAAAACATTAGGCGATCCAAAACCTGATCCAAAACATTTGAGGCGCCTGAAGCCTAAACCGATAGCATCGTATTATACATTCAGCTGCATTTGAACATCCTTTGAGCTTACATACGTGAAAAGTCGGAGATTTCAAGGAGTCGCTAAGTTCCTAATCCACTGGAGGTTTTTTACTGTATGCTTAAACCTACGGCGGATTAAATCTATCTTAAAATTGAAATTGATAGGGAGACTCTAAAAGTGATAAAAGGAATTCTAGGCAGTTTTTTCTTGTCATTCGTCATTCGTCAGAATATCTTACTGACTGGCTTATATTGTGCCGGGCGTGAAGATAGTTAGCGATCAGTGATGACGAATGGACCAGATGCAGTGAGGTACGAACGTTATGACTTCGAGTCAGGCATTTCCTAGCGCGGCCCGATCTAGCTAAATAAATAAATATTTTACTGTATGGCCAACGTTCTATTTCTTTTTTCCTTTACTCTTGCATTCTGTAGCTCGTAGGTCCGTGTGCAGGACCGCGAGGCTTTTTATGGCCTTTCTCACGCCATTAAGGCCCTCGTTAAGAACCTTTAACGATGTTTTTAATTGAAGCCCGTGCGGCGCCTTGCGGAAAAATATTCAGTATTTTGTTCAGAAATCGTTTATAGTCTTGAATTTTGCTGTACACGTCGAACGTTTTCGTGAAACAGAGGATCGACCATAGCAGTTTTGTCGTGTTATAAGTTACTAGAGAGGTATTAGACCCGATTTCTCATCTCTGGCTCCAATATTCAAATTCTCTAAAAGTTTAAAAGATTTCTCAAGTTCTTGGCGAAAAATTTACTATGCTGGCTTCTTCAGCTTTGATGGCATCTTATTTGTTTATTGCTTGCTCAACTTCCATTCGTTTTTAAACAGGGAGCGGTCCGTTCCATACAGAAGATCTCCCTCGACGCCGCAGAAGCAGCGGCACCTTTCCTGGAGCGGGTAAATTAGAGTCCTTATAACACAGAAAACAAAATAGGAAAAAAAATTATATAGGGCAGGTGTTCTCTGGTCCTGTCTGGTTCGGTCTGAACTAATTACAGTAAGGTGGCTCTTTGAGCTATGCAAATTTTTGCTTAATCACAAAAACTTTAAAAATGCGATTCACCAGATCTCGATAATTTGAATTCAAAACAAGTGCACGTGACAGGCTTCGAGCACGTGACACGGGTGTTAATGAATTACACGATTTGTATCTGATTGGCTGAAAAAGTGGCAGGGATCGAGTCTATAGGGCAGTTTTAAGGCTCGATCAAAAGCATGCAGCATTTCAATGCAACCTCTTGCAACATTGTTGAATCTTGTTGTGAGATGTTGTGAAGGAGCTGGCCAAACGAGCGCGACATCTTGCAACATCCAAAAGTGTTGCAACAAAATTTTGACCATTTTCAAACTTGATCCTACACCATCCACTCCATCCAATCCTACACCAACCACTAACCGGCGTTACCACCAGCGCCTTTGTTCGGAGGTTTGGCATATTAACTCCGCCCACGCTCCTTTAAATCGTGACGATGGCAGTTTGCTTCCTGACGCCAATTTACACCTCGTCAGAAAAAAGGCCGCTGATTAGCGATCATATAAAAGGACCTCTTGTTGCAGTGTTTAGATCACCCCTGATGAAGGCACTATACAGGAGTGTCGAAACGTTGGGTCTATGAATTGTAACTTCTTCGTTTACATCCATTAAATCTGTAAACCAGAGTAGCATCAAACCATGTCTGACCATCCAACATGTTGCAAGATGATGCTACCGGGTGGTCAAACGTATGCAACACGTTGCGCGCAACCATCTTGCAAGATGTTGCATTGAAATGTTGCGTGCGTTTGACCGGGCCTTAAAAGCACGGCTAGACAAGATCAAGGTTTCGACTGTCGACAGAGAATTTTCTGAAATCCGTGGATATAGATAGTAAAGGGGGTAAGTTTCTAAAGAAACGTGATGCTGCGTCGGTGGAGGAGTACAACATGATAATTTGGTTCTATTAACTGAGTTGATGATGTAAATTGGTCAACGTAACAAGTTTAAAAGCTTACCTTTCGAGCGTTAGCCCTACGCCATTCGCTCTGACGAAGGGCTAACGCTCGATACGTCAGCCTTTAAACTCCTTAGGGTGTCCAATTCACATTACCAACTCAGTTGGTCAAACCAAATTATCTCGTATTCAATAATTAGGAAGTGAGTCTTCTCCATTATTCATCTTAGGATCTTCAAATCGGCGACACTCAGCGTCAAGCAACCGAAGTCAAGAGGAAACTGCGCAGCGACGCCTGTCCGAGAGCAATCGACCTCACGACGGGCATCGGCGTTTATCTGAAGTTAGCCGAGTCAGTCACGAAGAACAACGAGTGAGAAAGAGATCAGAAGGTGAATGAAAAAATTTTTCAGCGGTAGGTACATGAAAGGCAAGCCACTAGAAACTGGGTTAAGGAGAGGGCTTTGAATTCTTGTCTCGCAGTTTGCTCTTGAGAAAGTATGTAAAGGTTAATTAAAATTCATTCAAATTTTTGCAAAATACCTCCTGTTGTTGCCATCGGCTGTAACTTAAGCCAGCTAAAAGACAGCTAACATGTTGGTAATTTGTTTTGCAATTACATCACGTCGGAAAAAAGTCGTCTTACGATGTCGATGCTGTTGCGCTTTTCCCGTCAGAATAACGCGGGTTCGCGCGCATCCTGGAAATTCTCGCGCAACTTTAATTAATCTTTCATTTGCTTGTTACGTTTGTGTCTCGCACAACTTTAGCTGTTCTTTCGCTTGCTTGTTACGTTTGTATCTCGCGCAACCTTAGCTGTTCTTTCGTTTGCTTGTTACATTTAGGTCTCGCACAACTTTAGCTGTTCTTTCGTTTGCTTGTTACGTTTATATCTCGCGCAACCTTAGCTGTTCTTTTGTTTTGCTTGTTACGTTTGTGTCATGCACAACTTTAGAAGTTCTTTCGTTTGCTTGTTACGTTTGTATCTCGTGCAACTTATGCTGTTCTTTCATTTGCTTGTTACGTTTGTATCTCGCGCAACTTT